AAATATCTAATATTCTTTCCTGTTGATAAATATGTTTTATCTAATCCACCAACAAATCCAGAATGTGTTTCAATATCAATGGTCCATCCTAATCCTTCTACAAATTCTTTATATGCTGGTGATCCTTCTTGATTTTTAAGAATATCAAATTGATCATATTGTCCATTTTTAACATAAATAAGACCTATTTTATGGAAACTACGAACACATGATTTATCTAATCCTTCTACTAATGTTTTAAATTTGTCTGTTGGTGTAATTGGAATTAATGTGGTATTACTTTTTCCAATAACATCAATATTTTGAGTTGAACATAATAACATTTGTATTAATAATTTAGTTGAATCTATTTCATGTCGTTCTAAAGTTATTATTTTATTAGTTTCTTCTTCTATTTTGTTTTCATTAAATCCTTTAATTTGTTGTTGTATATTTTCAAAAGTATCTTTTAAAGATTCTAATTCATTACAATATTCTTCTTTATTAATATTATTAGGTAATTCCCAATCTAAGAAATCAGGTTCTTGGTCTAAAATTTGATTAATAAGAGAACGTAATTTATTTTCATGTGGATCAATTGGTTTTTCTTCTATTTTTTCTTTTGGTGCAGATGTAATAATATCTTTTACGCTCAGTTTTCTTACACAGGTATCATTTGGTATTCCAATATCATCTAAAATAGAAACTGATTGAACATTCCATGAACTTTTACCAACTGCATTTCTTATAATCATTCTACAGAAATTTTCATCTTTTCTTTCTTCAATTGATAATAAATTATTTCCATAAGCCCACCATGTTGTTGAACCTTCTCCTTCTATTTGTGAAGATAAATATTTATCATTTCCTTTCTCACTTGGAACAAATGCAAATGCATTTAAAAGAGTTTGGATGAAAATTTCAGCACATTCAGGTGCTGATGCTCTATATAGATTTAATGGATTAATAGTCTTTTTTTCTTGTTTTAAAGTCATTGCAAAAGAAATTGCATTTAATAAATCAACTGTAATTTCAGGAGATAGTGCTTTGAAAAAAATAAACGAAGGTGAAAATACCCATTCTGTTAGTGCAGTGAAAACACAACCAATAGCTTCTGTTTTTACTTGTGGATTTAATATAGTTTTGATTAATCTTTTAATCATAAATTGAATATCATTAATAGTAAAGTATTTAGTAAAAGAAGCTAATTCACAAATAACTTCACAAGCAGGTCTATAAATATTTTCATTTTCAACTTCAATTTTTTCAATAATCATTAATAATAATTTCTCAATATTAAAATCAGGATTAATTTTTCTTGAAAATATTATATGTGCAGCAATAGAATATATCAAAGAAATTTGACATGAAATAGATTTAAATACTTCTAATAATGGTTTAAAACATTCTGATAATTCTTCTTTTAAGTTAAATTCAAAAGATAATTTATTAACATTTGATAAGTCAAGAACAATAGATGGATAATTTTCATTTACACTTATTAGAGAACTTAAAAGAAGGACAATTTGATAATTTCTATTTGGATTTGATGTTGGTAATAATAAATCAGAACTAAGAGATTTTAAGTGTTGAACAAAGTAAGGAATTAAAAGTGGATATCCAGGAATTTGGTTATAAACAATATCATACAATTCTTCCATTAATATAATTGGAATTATTTCAAATCCTTTAATAACTTTTTCATAAAATAAATTATATATTTCGTTATTAAATCTTACATATGAACGATTAATTAATTTACATATAAATCGATATAATAATTCTGTAGTTTTTGAAGTTTGATTTTGACGTTCAAATGAATCAAAAAATATTTGACCAAAAATGTCAACTAATTTTAATATTTTTT